CACACACACACACACACACACACACACATGTTTTATTTTTATACATATAGAGTTAAATCTTAATACATAAAACTAATCGGACAATCGAAAATGCAGCACAGTAGTCGAGCAATCATGAGAGGCGAGTCTACGCTGTAAAGCTGTAAACGAAATTTAATGTTATAAAGTCACGATAATTCAAGAACCTTCCAAATTTACTTGCTAGTTATTATAATTTTGAGATTGCGAGCCGTAGCAAATATATTTTAATCTGAAAGACTCAGAAAGTATAGAAAATAATAGCCATGAATGTTGAAGAAAGTCTCATGTTCTCATAACTGTGGGCAGAGAAAGCTTTTTCGATAATACAGAAATCCTTTTGTTTTCATTATAACATTAAACTTCAGAGCCTCGTTTACTCTCTCCCTGATCCACCTTCTTTACGTTAAACAAAATTGTGCACAGAGGATTAATCAAACTTGATTGTACATCCTGAGGATGTCTTGTCTCCATCAAGATTGGACGGTCAACGAACAGCATTACGCGCAGATGCCACTATACGTGGTGTCGTGAATACTTTGGAACAGTGTGCGTCCGAAAGAGAGGGAAAGAAAGAGGGGCGGGTGGAGGGGGGGAGGGATGAAGAAGGGAGAGTTATAGCGTTCTCCCGATTGAAGCAATCTGGACCACTCCGGCAACAGTTTTTACGAGCTCGCGTTCAATTAACCACGCACGTGACATAACGCAACGAGGGAATACTAAATATTTATATTTCGACTCGATATTTTACGTTATTTTATTTTTTTTTCCTTTCTTTTTTTCACGTACAGTGTTGTAATCAAACCCAGATTCAGACATTTTCGTTGGGATACGTATAATATCCCAACGAAAAAGCCGACGTTATTTGTCATCACTTAAACGTCAAAATATACGATAAATAACGTCAGCTTGTTTGTTGGGGGGGGGGGGGGGAAGGGGGATACGAACAAAAAAAATAGAATAAAATTTATCGTCTGAAAAAAATATAAAAATTCGAATTAACGAAATTGAGTTTTTCGCTTTACAACGAATAATCGAACATACCTACCCCGTGATTAAGATCGGTGAAGGAAATATATCAAATTATAAGTGATATCCCTGATCTTATTATCGTGTAAGTGATTCACTTCTTAATTGCGCGAAGTCCGTAAGCTTCAGCCGCTCCCGTTAATTAAACCGGCCCTCCATCCTCTGACGTCCCACCGTTTTCCCCGGACAGATCCGGATCGTTTCCGGGATAGAGAGATCGCCGGCGGGACAGGCGCAAAATGAGACAAGTGTGAAAAATTGCTACATACCTAAATTCTTCAAACACTCTTTTCCCGGCTCTCCGATCGCAGACGCGAAGTCGCGGCGGACGACGATTCATTCTATATAGCTAGGAACGATCGCATCGCGGGGGAGGGGGAGGGGGGGCTATTGCAGAACGCTCGTCGAGAGACCTGAGATCTACGTGAGAAACGACATAGAAAACCCGTGTGAATCCCCTGTATATCGTATATGTATGCGTATATGTGTGTGTATGCGTGCGCGCGTGCGGCTCTACGCTCGGCTCGGCTCGGCTCGCCGCGCCGATCGTTCCACGCCGCGGCCGCGGAATCGGGAACGGAAAATCGATCGACTCGCTGTATGTATGCGTGTGCATTTGCGTGCGTATGTACAGTTTACTTGTGTATGCATGTGCGTGCGTATTTGCATTCGCACCGAGTCCAAGGGGTGATACGCGGTACCGTTGACAAGGTACGGCACTGTGCTCGTATCGGAAATACAAGAAGCCAGTGGTAAGACTTTGTATTGTCTACGATGCTAGAAATCGTTCGATACACGAGATACCCGAGGTGGAGAAAGAATTGACCAATCACACACCGGTCACGTGTAATTTGTTAACTTTTCTCCGTACGAAATTTCGGAATGATTTTTACACTGAAAAAAATGTACTAAAATTTTAAATATTTCTTTGAGTATATATTGTAAGAGTGAGAACTGTTACTTAATATTTACTCACTGAACAAATACTATATATTTGCTAAAGGAAAGAATGATAGTTAAATGAAATTAATTCTTGTATCAAATAATATCTATGTATTTAAATCTAGTAAATATTCAGTAGTATATATGTATATGTTCAAACAAATATTTATTAAACTCGAGTACACACATTTTTTTTCTCAATGCAACATTGTGAATATAAAATTTGCAGGAAGGCAAGTCAGATAGGCGAGCGATTCGTCTATCTCGCGTTTCCGAAAAAGTATCGAGAGATTAGATAAATTGACTGAAATACGTTCGCCTTCCTATTAATATCGCGTATACATTGAGCGTAACATTGAGCTCGCACGAAACGGGGGAAGGCGAGTCGAGGAAATTAAGAGAGAAGATCGGAAAGTGATAAAGAAGCGAGCAAAGTAAGCGTTACACTTGGCTCGTCTAGTTTCTCCCTCAATTTCGCGTACATTCATCATAACCGGTGAGAAAGCAAGCCGAGGGCGAGGAAAGCTAGTGACGCATAGTCGGAAAACGTAAGCGAACGTAGCTGGCGACAGTCGAAAACGTAGGGCAATGAAAACGTAAGCAGCGGCAAAACAAAAAATGTCGATTTGCTTACTTCTCTGCGTTTTCACCGCTTACGTTTTTTTCCATATGCTACTAGGATGCATACTTTGCTTGTCTCGCGTGATAAGGAATAACAGAAAAGATATACCGGTTGCTTGGATTGCTTCTATTCGCGAACATCTGCAGAAAGTAGCGCATCGGATTAAAAGAAAAAAAACACAAATCAACCAACGTGGAGACGGAAGCGAGCTTCTCTCACTCGGCCCCTGAATTAACTCCCTTTGAATAAGGCAAACAGGTATCTCGCTCTCTCTCTCTCTCTCTCTCTCTCTCTCTCTCTCTCTCTCTCTCTCTCTCTATCTAAATTTGCTTGCCTGTTGACTTTGCTTAAGGCAACGCTTCGTGTTAAACTGAGAATGCGCGAAGCTGGAGGTAGACAGTCAAATAACGAGATATCTTACTACTACGTTTTCTCGAGGAAAACAAGCAATTCACGTTTTTCTTAACTTAATTCTAACGTTCCTTTTACGTAACGATCTTACGCGATATCCTATAGCTAGAGTTTCCTGTAAGGAAACCAAGATGACGAACCTTTGATTTAGCTCGCCAACTTTTGTCAACTTTAATAAGTAAGAACAAGTAAGAACAAGTAATATGTATAAAGAACAGGCTAAATTAAGATAGCACATATAAAAAGAGATATTATATATACATCCTTCTTTTTCATTCTTAATAAAATTCCTTCTAGCCAGACTCTGGTATAGGATCTCTAAGCGCAGGTCAAGGAGCAGGTACGTAACTAATCAGCAAATCATTCGCTTACCTCCGCTCTTATCTCTTGTCAAGCTAAAACAAATAATCTGCCATCTGATTCGCCACGTTGCCAACCCCGCATAAATTCGGCATTGTGACGGACGCGTGTTCAAACAGAGTCACGTTTCGGGCTTAATTATCGGACGGGGGAGACGACAGATCTCTCCAAGTCACGTCGAAGGAATTGAAACGAGAGACTACTTTTTGTAAAACGTAGACGAGCGAGACGCCTCTGGAGACGAGAGAGGGAAACAGGATAGTTGCGTTATTAGAAATATTAGGATCTCTTTTCGGAAGGAGGGAAGTTCGGAAGTCAGTGAAGATCGAGGAAGCGATCGCGAGGGAATCCCGTAAATATTCAATCAAACTCCGTTCCCCGCGATCGCGTCTTCGTTCTCCTTCGATGCATCCAACGTCGCGGGATCCGGCGACGTGTACACGGCGCATGTACCGGCGTGAAAAATCACCGAGCGTTCGTCCCCGCACGCACGCACGCACGCACGGCCTCACGCGTTAGGGAAATAGAGCTAGGGTCGTCGCCGTCGTCCGGACACGCGTCTACTACTCGGCACTCGCCGAACAAGCGGGACTAGCGGGAGTCGGGACTACGGATGGACAGACGGCGATGACGCGCGCCGCGCCGCCGACGATCAATCGCGCGCGGGAGCCAGACCCGACGGACGCGGCCGAGCGTCGACGAGGAGGTGACGGCCCACGTTTCCACCGCGGGTGACCGAGCGCCCGATATCGCGCTCGCCCCGTTACCCCCTCCCCCCCCTCTCTCTCTCTCTCCTCCCTCCCTCCCTCTCTCTCTCTCTCTCTCTCTCTCTCTCTCTCTCTCTCTCTCTCTC